AACCTATAATCAATATAAAAAGCATTAATGAGATATTTTACATTCTTTTTTGAACTAAGTCTTCGAAATCCAATATGTACCTTGTACTTACAGCACATCTCAATTGGAAGCAGCCACATTTCAAGTGCTCGGTAGCCACATGTGGCTCCTCACTGCTGTACTGGGTAGTGCAGGTCTTAACTCTGTCTACTGTCTTAAAGCCCTACCCTTAACCTCCTCAGTCTCTGTAAGACCTCATGACTCATTTCCCAGAGAAGATTTGAGTTGATCTACCTCAAGCTGCTTTATGTTGTTCCCTTTCCACCACAAAACATACCTGTAGCCTCACTCACAGTTCCCAAAATGTCTCTGTATCTTTACGCATCCGTTCTTTCCTCTCCTTTGAAAAGGAAGAGCTATGACTAATCCTATCCTTTCCGCCTTCTCTAAGACTTTGTCTCATCAAATTATCTCCTCTTTCCAGAATTCTCACCCCCTTCCTCTCCACTAACGTTCCCAGGTTTTACTCACCCTAAAATGTTACTAGTTGCTTTTACCCCCCAAACTACTGTTCTATTAATCATCTTCATTACTTAGAACTTCCCACAACCTTCCCAACCCCTCACATCATGTCTTCCATCCCTACTACTCTTAAAACTCCTCTCTTCAGTTATGAATGACCTTCTAGCCTCCAAATCCAGTGGTCCTTTCTCCTTTTCATTTCCCTTGTTCTGTCTACATCATTCCACAAGGTAACCTACACTTTTCTTCTGAAAAATCTCTTTCTGCTTGACTGCTATGACCTGTACTATTGAAGTTCCCATTCTAACACTTGGAACTCTCTTTTTATAGCTCCATTTACTCCTTTGGCCCTTAAAATATGGTCCTATCCTAAAGTGTATTCCTTAGCCTCCACTCCCACGGAGGTATAATCCATTCTCAAGACTTGAATAATCATTTCCATTCAGAATACACCCAGATAAAAATATTCAACCCCTCTTTATTAAATTTTGGAGCCCTGGTGGCTCAGTGGTTAAGAGCTTGGCTGCTAACCAAAAGGTCAGCAGTTCAAGTTCACCAGCCACTCCTTGGAAACCCTATAGGGCAGTTCTACTCTGTCCTGTAGGGTCGCTATGAGTTGGAATAGACTCGACTACAACGGGGGTTTTTTTTTTTTTTTAATTAAATTTCAACCTCACATTTCCAATTATCTCCTATATATATTCATCTGAATTACATTGCATATATGATATTACTGGCCATTTTAATGCAGGGCTGCTCTAACAAAGCCTAAAAGGCAAATTTAAGTTCCCAGCTTTAAAAAATATTAGGTAGTATTGTATGTAATAGTCAACCTCATTCATGATCCCTATTCCATCTCTGCTCCAGGGTATGTCAAAATGCTCTGCTTCAAATGTCATTATGTCAGAATCTGTAGGTTTAAAAACAAATGACAGCTTTTTCCCCAACCAGTTCACCCCCAGATTTCCTATTTTGTCAGTAATATTAATCACTCATTCACCAGGTTTGAAATGTTGTTTCACCCTTAATTAGCTCTTACTCCTTTCTCTGAGAGCTAATTAGCCACCATTCTTGTCAACTAATACTTCATAATATTTCCCTTTTATTCCCCCATCGCCTTAACAGATTATTCACCACATTCATTAACCATCCTAACCCGTTGCCGTCAACTTAATTCCTACTCATAGCCACCCTATATGAAGAATACAACTGCCCCATAGGGTTTCCAAAGCTGTAATCTTTATGGAAGAAGATTGCCACATCTTTCATCCGCCGAGAAGCTGGTGGGTTTGAACTGCCGACCTTTTGGTTAGCAGTTGAGCACTTAACCACTGCAATACCAGGGCTCCTACATCCTCTTTTTTTTCTATCAATTCCAGTACTATCCAATTAACTTTGGCCACCTCCAACAACACAAGATATATTGGCATTGATTCAACATTTTTTTTAAATGAATGGCCAGTCTTCCCAGCTAGGCCTCAAATTCCTTAAAAACAGTAACCAAATTTTATAATCTCTTCATTCCTGTGCTTACTAGATAATAGATGATGAGTAACTTCTTACTATTGTTATGACTAACTTTCCCTTAAAAAGAAAAGTTTCACTTTAAATATCTAGCTGTAGAATCAGATTTAAATATAATTCAGGTTAACCCAAATTAATTTTACATAGTTTTGGCTATATTTAACATATAACAAAAAGAGAGGGAACTGTTTTGTTTTCAAAAAAGCATCAAACTTAGAATTTGATCCTGCTTCTCCTATTAATTAGTCCGGATGTAAGTTTCTTAACTTTTAGCCTCACCTGTTCTGTAGCTCTCTAAAGGATTTTATTGTGAAATTTAAATGAGATATTGTATGGTTTGAATGTTTCCAAATCCACATAAATAGTCATGTCTCAAAGTACCCAGAATCAACATCCTACTGCTTTAGTGATTCTTTTGTTAACCTCCTAACTAGAAACATCCAGCAGTCTTATCAAGTTGAAGTTGTAGCCTTGCTCACAGTTCCCAAAATGTCTCTGTATCTTTATCCATCCATTCTTTCCGCTCCTTTGAAAAGGAACAGCTACGACTAATCCTATCCTTGTTTATTTTTTACAATTCATTTTTTTTTATCCCTGGCACCTAGCACAAAGCCTGGCACTTAGTTCTGCTCAGTATATACTGAAGAGCCCTGGTGACACAAGGGTTAAGCGCTCAGCTGCTAACTGAAATGTTGGTTGGTGGTTTGAAACCACCCAGTGGCTCTGTGGGAGAAAGACCTGGTGATGGCATAAAGACTACCACCTCTGTCACGGGGGTGGTCACTATGAGTCAAAAATTGACAACTACAACAATACATACTGAATAAATGAGTGAGTGTGGAACAGGTAACACTTCAGATATTGATGGTGTTTTAGTTTCTTTATTCCCCCCTTTTCCCTTCCCCTGCACAAAACGAATAAATACTAGGAGGTCCCAGTGCCCCACGGACCTTTAGTGCAACTGACAAGACCATGGGGAGCCAGGCTTCTGTGGAGATCCCTTCCCCTTTCTCATCTCTTCTTGGGGTCCCTGGGGTTTCTTACAGGTCATGTCTTCTAAAAGGTCCCCCTTTTCTGCTTAAAAAGGATCGTTATTTTGGTATTCTGTTCTCCACAAACTCTTCTAGAAGGAAAATCATTTGGTGAACTCATTCCAGTTTTGTTGTTAATGACAAGCAACTCTGTAATGCATTATCTCGTTCTGGGATATTTGCATTAAAAAAAAAAAAAAGATGAGGAAATGAGGAATACTTTGAAGATAAATAGGATGAAGCCAAATGAATGAATTCCTAATGGTGGAATGTAGTCAGTGTGACTGGTGGTTAGGGCAGGGAAAGGAGGGAGGCTTTAGAGCAGCAGGGCTTTTCCTTTACTCTGGAAACCTACTTGTAGGACCAGCCCTACTCAAAGGGAAAAAAAAAATCTTTGTTACAGCCTACTCTGTGCTTGTGGTCCTCTCCTCTACTTCCTGCATCACAGAAGCGTCGTAGGGGAAAGGGAACAAATTTATGCCCAACAAAATGACTGCCTACTGGAATCTTTCTGAGTTAACGTCATTGTTGGACCAAGTTGGAGCCAGGGAGAAGAAGAGAAGGTGGAGGTACAAGGTAGATCTGCTCAAAAGAAACTCTCTCTCCAGCTTCAGATTGCTGGGGGTATCCTCAGTCTATTATAAAAGAGCCTTCCCGACTTGAAACCCCTGATTAATTCTCCAGTCAGCCTGAGGCAAGTCTGCTGAGGAAGGCGTTAATTCTCTGCAACATTCCTTATGTCACCTTGATAGTCTCAGGGTGGTCATCAGGCTCTGTGATTTTTTCAGTACTGTTCATTCAGCTAACTGTGCACCCATGTATTCTGGGAGCAGCTCCCTAATCTCTTCAAGGCCTGGTCACCTCCGTTTTCCTTTGAGCCAGTGACTGTTATCTAATTCTGCAAATGAGGCGTCTCCAGGTGCACTCCACATGAATCAGTGTAAGCAAATGCCACTTTTATTGAGTTGTACATCTTTTTTCTCTTCCTGAAAATTGATTGGCAAAATATTATATAAAAACCATTCTTCCTTGCCTAATTGGAGAAGGATTTTGCATACATTCTTCAGCAAGGCTTTTATGCTTTTTTCATATCCTGGTGATGGGAATATTCTAAATATTTCCCATTTTATATCACATTTGAAGCACCATGGCTTTATCCTTTGAATTGAAAGAGGGTAATAACTGAATGATAGATGTGGCGTAGATTTTAAAGCTTGCACTCCAGAGTTTTAAATCACAGAACGTAAGCAAACAAATCATGTTGTACAAAATGGTCTAATCCAAATGTCAGCTTCAGGGTTCCTTGGGACAACCATTAGCCCCTTGGTTTTGCTCTCATTTTAGACGCAGCAGTACCTTGGTCCAGATGCCTTTGGAATTGGCTGAGGTCTCCTGGGCCTTCCTCCTTGTGACTAAAGGCACTACCGCTCCAACCAACTCTCTTCATGTTGCTGATGCCCCTTCTCAGCAGTGGGGGGATTTACATCACTGATGCATACATCAGCAGGCTACAACTGAGACATGAAATTATTAGCAGAGAAACAAGATGCCCCTATAATTAATACCATCCTAAAGAAGAAAACTGGTACTTCACGGAGGCCTCTGCATTTCCAATTTGTTTCAAAGTCACATGGTTTAGGGCCTCTGTAGTAGTGACGTAGCCCATAGGATACACTCAGAGATACAGTCCCTGGAGATTCAACAGCCGTTTTCTTACCTGTAAATTTGAGAAACTGCCCTCAGGGATGGAAAAGATTCCTCCAAACCCAAATAAAATGACAGTAAATGCCCTAGGCATAGCCAGTGTATCTACTTCGCTGTGTTTAGGAACCCAATGCCAGGTGAGAACCTGCAGCAACCGTAACTTTGAGGAACAAGCCACAGTTGTTTGCCTAGTGGTATTTCCAGAGTTGAGCGGTGTGTGTTTTGTGTCTCCTCCCACAGCTATTGACTTGCTCTACTGGCGAGACATCAAGCAGACAGGAATAGTGTTTGGGAGCTTCCTGCTGCTGCTTTTCTCCCTGACCCAGTTCAGTGTTGTGAGTGTTGTGGCCTATCTGGCCCTTGCCGCGCTCTCAGCCACCATCAGTTTCCGCATCTACAAGTCTGTTTTACAAGCTGTGCAGAAGACCGACGAGGGCCACCCTTTCAAGTGAGTGCCCCAGCTTTACTAGCCCTTGCCCGCCTCACGTGGCTCTTCTCCTCTGGCTCCATTTCTGATCACAGACTCACTTTCTGTCACGTTTCTCTGAGACCTAACAGACCTGTTAGAGATTTTCTTGACACCCTGTCTTTTAATATATAATATTTCTGGTGAATTTCTGGAAAAAAAAATCAATTATTCTTACTCCAACACTAATTACTTTATTGAGTGTTTATATTTTAATTACTGCTACAACTAATAGAAATCATAATCCATTACGGGTGTGCAATGTTTTATAATTTAAAGAGTGTTTCAACAGTTACTTAATCCTCTCAGCCCTGTGAGGAAGGGAGGGCAGGCATTATATTCCTATTTACGGGTGGAAAAACTAAGGTTCCAAGAAGTGAAGTGGCTTGCCCAAGTTCGCATGGTCAGTGAATATCACAGAGTTAGGACGAGGGTGTTTGATTTTTATTTTCATGTTCTCTCTGGTTCCTAAAGGGCCAGCTCTTTAGGACAGTCTCCTAATGTGCCCTCCTCTGCATTTTTATACTGAAGAAATCTGATTAGAAGGACCGTGAGAAGAAAGAAATCTCTAAAAAGGCAATGTACTAGCTAAGAGAATATATAAGATGTGATAGAGGGGAGTATTGGCATTGCCAGCTGCATGCTGCTCAACTCTACCCCCAATTTATCTCCCAATGCTAGCTTATAAACCCTGGGTGCTTGGGGCACTGTCAGTGTCACCCCTTTCCTGGTACATCACCCCAGAGGGTAGGCTCCACTGCATGTGTCCTCACCTCCTCTAACCAAGGGACAGTTCTGAGTCCCAGATAACAGGTGGAAATGATGCTGCGGAATCGCTTCTGGGCCAGCCCCAGTCACTCACCCACAGCTCCTCTGAGTCCTCCCTGACTCACCCTCTCACCCACACCAGTCAGCTGAATCAAGGCCTCAGCAACACCAGGCTCTTGAAAAGGGAAAAGACACCTGTTTACGGGGACAAAAGGTTGTGTTTCAGACTCTCTTCCTAGTCTCTGATTCCTGGGCTCAGGGTAGAAGACAGTTATAGTCTGGGCATCCTTGCCCTTGGGATATATTTGGCCTTGTAATGCAGTGTTAATGGGTCTTCTGGGCTGCAGCTTGGCTACACAAGTTCCCATCCCCAAACATGGGAAGAGACGCAGAAGCGGAGTGTCATCTTAACAGGGTGTATACATTGCCTTCTTCAGTGACCCTCGCTTGTGACCAGAGTCCACACCTTTAGAGTCCTCCCCTGCCCCCTCCTCTGCCCTTAGCCATTCAAGCAAGACTTGTTTCTCACATGTTCTTGGTCCACAAGGCTGTTAGGTTAAACGGGAGAACTTAACCTCTCGTTTGGCTTATATCTTCAAGTACCCAGTTATAGGAACAAGAGTCCAACAATTCGTCTACAATTAGCGCAACTCTCTTATCTTCCTTAAGGAGACAAATTTGAAATTTAAAACTTTCCTCTAAGTCATTTTGATCAGTGAAAGGAACATCTGACTCAGAGTACATTTTGAACTGAAACGCACTATCTTGACAAATCAGTATTTTTCTATTTTTATTAAAGGGGCAAAAAACCAAATTACTTGAACATAAACTCCGTAAAACTCAGACGAAAACTGTGCTTTACCCTTTTCATCTCAATTCCCAGAGTTAGATACGGGGCTTCAAACCGGTTTGTTCTGGTTCCAACCCCTGCTAAGAATTTGCATTTCTAACGAGTCCCCAGGTGATGCTAATGCTGCTGATTAGGGAACAATTCTGAGAACCATTAGTAGAGAAGTGGGTCTCAAAATTTACTGTACATAAGAATCACCTGGGGATCTTGTTAAACTGTAGATTATGATTCAGTATTTTTGGGATGGAAATGCAAATTCTCAGCAGGGGTTTGAACTGGACCAAGCAGGTTTGAAGCCCTGGTTAGGTACACATTGTAAGAACCATAGGGATGTCTTGGAGGTAGACAACAAGACAACAGTCTTGCTGTCGCTGCTGTCATAAAACAGTGGAGAGAGGGCCATGAAAGAAGGGAGGAAGGGATGATGGAGAGAGGGAAAATTGACGTCTGTGGGTTAGTATGAAACAGGAAGATACTGAGCTGGATTGACTTGTACAGGGAGCCTGGTTTATTCACCCAAAAGGTAAATTTAACCATTTGAATAAATAAAAAATGTAATTACTAAAAATATCACTCTTAACAGAACCAGTGAGCATTTTAACATGGCCAGATCATTTGAGTTTTCAGAACTCTCTAAATAGAACCTGGAAGTAAATTCCAGAATTTAAACATGAATTCTTAGAGTTTTGATGAGCAGCCAGAATTGGCAGCTAGGATTTTCAGATATCTCACCTATTTAAAAAGATTCATCTCCATGCAACCAAGAAAAAGTGGGGCTTTCCCAACTGCCTAGTGGACCAGGGATGTATAGAGAATTCAGCACATAAGCTAATTTGGGCTGACTTTTCTCTGGCCCCTGCCAGGTTTCCTGAATTGTCAGCTCACATTGTAATGCTGTCTTTGGTACAGAGAAACAGTCACAATGCCCCACCACAAGCCATGATCCTATGTTCTCCAGTGTACTGGAAGTGGGAGTATATGGCACCCTGTGGCCAACTTGGCTGTATAAACCCCTAAGAAGACCAGCTGTCATCCTCAGAGTGAGAAAAGGAAAGCTTAGCGGTTAATGGGATACAGTGCCAGCCAGCCTGTTTCGTGATTCCCTCTGATGGTTCTCTGTGGGGATGGTGGTTTGTTGACAGGGCGTACTTGGAGCTCGAGATCACCCTTTCTCAGGAGCAGATTCAGAAGTACACAGACTGCCTGCAGTTCTACGTGAACAACACGCTTAAAGAGCTGAGGAGGCTCTTCCTCGTCCAGGACCTGGTGGATTCCTTAAAAGTATGATTGCTTAAACCATTCACTTTACAGTCTTGATTTTATTTTCCCTAAAGATACGATATTATAAACCACCTCGTAATGAAGAATAAAAAGTAAGTGCTAATTATGTTCAAGAGTTAGAAAACCTCCAGCTGTATGGCACCTTGGAGATCATTTAATTTAATCTCTTCATTTTACAGATAACAAAGCTGTGGCTCAGAGAGGTTAACATACTTGTCCGAGGTTGCCTAGTGAGCTACTGGAAGAGCTAGGATCAAACCTGGGTCACACAGCCTCTGGTTCTGCACTTTTTACAACACACCAGATTGCCTCTTCTTACCATTTGTAATTCCTCAGGCAATTTTCTAAAATTAATTTAAAAATAAAAACCTAGTTTGAGGATGCAAAAACTATATGTGGTTTTTCACTAAAAGAAACTGCTAAAAAACAAGACCTCCAAGTGTTCCTACACGGTTTCTACTCAGAGGCTGAGCAATCTGAAGGGCTGAGGTCTGGCAGAGCCAACACTCAGCCAGCATCTGGGGTACTGAGGTTTTATTCCTGGTGCTCTCATGAATTCAGTGGATTTCTTTGGGCAAGCTGCTTTCACCTCCCTATGACTTACATGTCAAATGAAAGTCAATCAATCATGATTTGGCAAGGCTGTAAGCAGAGTGGGGGAAAACCCCAGCAAGGTTGTGAGTTTTCTGTGTCCCCAGAGCACTTGGTACATACCCTGGCAGGGGTCTTGTACACAGGGGCTGCCTGGTAACTGTTCGAGGAAAGGCAGAGAGAAAAGTGAGCGATGTGGTCTTGACCCCTAGTGCTTTACTGGAATATGACTTGCCAAGTAATACTGGCGAGAGATACCAGGGACATCATGATTACTTACCCTAGTGCTTTTAAGGAGACATTTCTATTTATATTTGAAGTGTAAAAACTGTGGACTGTATCCACGGTCAACAAATCTTTTTTGTAAAGGGCTAGATAGTAAATATTTTAGCCTTAGTGGGCCGCAGTCACTGTCGCAACTACTTAACTTTGCCATTATAGCCTGAAGGCAGCCAAAGACAATAAGTAAATGAATGACCATGGTTATGTCCCAGTAAAATTTTATGGAAACTGAAAGTTGAATTTCATATTTTTACCCATCACAAAATATTATTCTTGTTTTGATTTTTTTTTTTTTTTTTTGACCATTTAAAAATGTAAAAACCATTTTTGACTGATGGGTCCATACAAAAACAGGCAGAGGCCCTAGTTTGCCGGTCCCTGGACTAGGTTATTTCATTCAGTCCCTCAGATTTCATAACAAAGAGATTCACAGGTTTCAGGGAGAATTGAGGGATGGAACCTCTTTCAGTGATTCTCTGATGAGCTTGAAACACCTTGTTGCTCTTACATTTTCTATCGAAATTATGTATTTTGCTCAAATTCTAATCCAAAAAAAAGTCACTAAAATGAGGCTCTTGTATGTGCCAGCGTTTTAGAAGCTTTGATAATCCTTTCATTCTTCAGTTTGCAGTGCTGATGTGGCTCCTGACTTACGTTGGCGCTCTCTTCAATGGCCTGACCCTGCTGCTCATGGGTAAACGGGGACAAGAGCGTATCATGTCTTGTTGCACACATGCAGTGAATAGAATGCTTCCCAGGCTGTTAACTTTCAGATTGTTGTGGTAGATTCCTAGGCACAAATGCCACAGATACCCCTGAGTTCCAATCATTTCCCTTACCATCACAGTTTCATTCAAGAGTGTTATAATAATAATAAATTTATTATTCTGAAGTTTTTTTTGTTTTTCTTCAACCGTGACTGGTTTTATTTGGCTTCCAATATATACTTAGTTACAATGGTAGCTATAGATAGAGATTAATTTTCATCTTGGAGGGCACAGTATTCTAGGAATCATGACATAATATCTATAAAGGGCTCATTATCTTTTTATTTTCCTTGTGAACTGCCCTGTCATCAATTATCTAGAATGCTGGTTATTATAACTAATGCTATAGTATCATTAGAGTATATATTATAACTATATACAAATATGTATGTAAACTTATTCTTACTGACAACTCTCAGAATTTTAACACTGTATTTGTTTTTCATCCCAGCTGTGGTTTCAATGTTTACTCTACCTGTAGTGTATGTTAAACACCAGGTAAGTTCTGTGTGATGTCAAACATTTGCCGTAAATTTTGACCTCGTGACCTTTGGACATGCTCATGATTTCTTTCTTTTTGTAGGCACAGATTGACCAATATCTGGGACTTGTGAGGACTCACATAAATGCAATTGTGGCAAAGTAAGTTACATAGTGTAATTCATAAACAGGAGAGATTATTTTGGGCAGGCGTTTGAGTGGATTAGGTGGAGGTAATAAAAAGGTAGCAAAATAATAGGTTGACTTATGATTTTCGCTTACTTATTTGAGTAATATAGTCATTCCCTTTCCAATTAGACTATATTTCAGAAAATAAGTATAAATTTTAAAACTCTCAATTAAACAAAACCTTCAGTGGATTATTTCAGGTATCATAATGAATGTGTATGATAAAGATATTAAGATCTCTCTGGGGACTGGGCTACATTCCAGACTGGCTGCTGGAAAGAAGGAAGCCTGATTTGGAAAAATAAAATTAATGTATAACAATTTAATTGAAATAAACACAAGTTAAAAACATCAATTTTTTTAAGCAATGATATTACTGATTTTTTTAAACCATTAAAATCATTTTCTAAAAACTTTGAATGTTTTACATATCTGTAAAATGTGTATTACCTGAGTATTTTAAATTACATCATTTCACCTCAACAAGTGTATGTGTGTGTTTGTTTAATTAACAGACCCTACTTTATGGGGTTGCCATGAGTCAGAATTGACTCAGAAGCAGCTAACAACAACAACAATAACTTTAGGGGCAACCTTACATATTAAAAGATTAAGATTCCAGTTACAAGTATCCAAGGCTAACATGGTCATTAAAATTTGTAGTTTTCCCTTATTTTTAAATTGGTGGTTTTAGATGTGTCTTTATCTAAAAATGGAGCCCTGGTGGTGTGGTGGTTAAGCGTTTGGCTGCTAACCAAAAGGTCAGCAGTTCAAATCTACCAGCTGTCCCTTGGAAACCCTATGGGGCAGTTCTACTCTGTCCTATAGGGTTGCTATGAGTTGGAATTGACTCGATGACAATGGGTTTTGTTTTTTTTTTTTTTGTCATCTAAAATGATAGTTTTTGTGTTGTTATTATTATTCGAAAAAATTTTTTAACCATGTGCTGACCGAGGTTTCAACTACAAATACATGTCGCAAGAGGATTAGACTTTGTCAAAATAAACTCCCATATGGTTGGACCTGGGTGATGGTTAGATTTAAAGAGAAGTATTTTAAACAGTCAAAAATAGATAAAAAAAATAAAATAAAAAAAACAACCACTTTTAAATTAAAGTTCCTCTGCTGTTAGGCCACCTCTCCTCTGTCAGTTTGTCATACTGTTGTGGCTTTCATGTTGCTGTGATGCTGGAAGCTATGCCACCAGTATTTCAAACACCAGCAGGGTTACCCATGGTGGACAGGTTTCAGCAGAGCTTCCAGACTAAGACAGACTAGGAAGAGGGACCTGGCAATCTACTAAAAAAATTTGTCGGGAAAACCTTATGAATAGCAGCAGAATGTTGTCCGATATAGTGCCGGAAAGTGAGCTCCTCAGGTTGGAAGGCACTCATAATACAACAAGAGAAGAGCTGCCTCCTCCAAGTACATTCGAACTTAATGACATGGACAGAGTAAAGCTTTCAGGACCTTCATTTGCTGATGTGGCATGACTCAAAATGAGAAGAAACAGCTGTAAACATTCATTAATAATCGGAACGTGGAGTGTACAAAGTATGAATCTAGGAAAATTGGAAGTCGTCAAAAATGAAATGGAACACAAAAACATTGATATTCTAGGTATTAGTGAGCTGAAATGGACTAGTGGCCATTTTGAATCAGACAATCATATGGTCTACTATGCCCGGAATGATAAATTGAAGAGGAATGGCGTTGCATTCATTGTCAAAAAGAATATTTCAAGATCTGTCCTGAAGTACAATGCTCTCAGTGACAGGATAACAGCCATACACCTACAAGGAAGACCAGTTAATATGACTATTATGCAAGTTTACGCACCAACCACTAAGGCCAAAGATGAAAAAACTGAAGATTTTTACCAACTTCTGCAGTCTGAAATTGATCAAACATGCAATTGAAATGCATGGATAATTACTGGTGAAAGGGATGAGAAAGTTGGAAACAAAGATGCAGGATCAGTAGTTGGAAAATATTTGCCTTGGTGATAGAAACAATGCCAGACATCACATGATAGAATTTTGTAAGACCAATAACCTGTTCATTGGAAATACCTTTTTTCAACAACAAAAATGGCAACTATACATATGGACCTCACCAGATGGAATACACAGAAATCAAATCAACTATATCTGTAGAAAGAGAAAATGGAGAAGCTCAATATCATCAATCAGAACAAGGTCAGGGGCCGACTGCAGAACAGACCATTAATTGCTCTATGCAAGTTCAAGTTGAAGCTGAAGAAAATTAAAACAAGTCCACAAGAGCCAAAATACGACCTTGAGTATATCTCACCTGAATTTAGAGACCATCTCAAGAATAGATTTGACACATTGAAAACTAATGACCAAAGACCAGATGACTTGTGGGGTGACATCAAGGGCATCATACGTTAAGAAAGCAAGAGGTCATTAAAAAGACAGAAAAGAAAGACAAGACCAAAATAGATGTCAGAGGAGACTCCGAAACTTCCTTTTGAACATAGAGTAGCTAAAGCAAATGGAAGAAATGATGAAGTAAAAGAGCTGAACAGAAGATTTCAAAGGTCAGCTCAGGAAGACAGAGTAAAGTGTTATAATGAAATGTGCAAAGATCTGTAGTAAGAAAACCAAAAAGGAAGGATATACTCAGCATTTCTCAAGCTGAAAGATCTGAAGAAAAATTTCAAGCCTCGAATTCCAATATGAAGGATTCTATGGGTAATATATTGAACGATGCAGGAAGCATCTAAAGAAGATGGAAGGAGTACCTAGAGTCACTGTACCAAAAAGAATTGGTTGACATTGAACCATTTCAGGAGGTAGCATGTGATCAAGAACTGATGGTATTGAAGGAAGAAGTCCAAGCTGCACTGAAAGCATTGGTGAAAAACAAGGCTCCAGGAGTTGGCAGAATACCAATTGTTGAGATGTTTCAACAAACAAGTGCAATGCTGGAAATGCTTGCCACTGACTGGAAGAGATCCACATTTGTGCCGATTCGAAAGAAAAGTGTTCCACCAGAATGCAGAAATTATTGAACAATATTATTAATATCACACACAAGTAAAATTTTGTTGAAGATCATTCAAAAGTGGTTGCAGCAGTACATTGACAGGGAACTGCTGGAAATTCAAGCCAGATTCAGAAGAGGACGTGGAATGAGGGATATCATTGCTGATTTTAGATGTATCTTGGCTGAAAACAAAGAATACCAGAAAAATGTCTACCTGTGTTTTATTGACTGTGCAAAAGCATCAGACTGTGTAGATCATAACAAGTTATAGATAACTTTGCGAAGAATGGGAATTCCAGCACGTTTAATTGTGCTCTTGAGGAACCTGTACAAAGATCAAGAGGCATTTGTTCAAACAGAACGAGGGGATACTGCGTGGTTTAAAATAAGGAGAGGTGAGCATCCGAGTTGTATCCTTTCACTATACTTAGTGTGTATGCTGAGCAAATAATCTGGGAAGCTGGACTATATGAAGATGGATGGCACATCAGGATTGGAGGAAGACTCATTAACAACCTGCGATATGCAGATGACACAACCTTGCTTGCTGAAAGTGAAGAGGACTTGAAGCACTTACTGATGAAGATCAAAGACTACAGCCTTCAGTATGGATTACACCTCAACATGAAGAAAACACAAATCCTCACAACTGGACCGATAAGCAACATCATGATAAACGGAGAAAAGATTGAAGTTTTCAAGGATTTCATTTTACTTGGAGCCACAATCAATACCCATGGAAGCAGCAGTCAGGAAATCAAATGACGCACTGCATTGGGCAAATCTGTCGCAAAAGACCCCTTTAAAGTGTTAAAAAGCAAAGATGTCACTTTGAGGAGTAAGGTGCACCTGATCCAAGTCATGGTATTGTCAGTCACCTCATGTGAATAAGGAAGACTGAAGAAGAATTGGTGCCTTTGAATTATGGTGTTGGTGAAGAATACTGAATATACCGTCAACTTCCAGAAGAATTAACAACTCTATCTTGGAAGAAGTACAGCCAGGATGCTCCTTAGAAGCGAGGATGGTGAGACTTCCTATCATATAATTTGGACATGTTATCAGGAGGTACCAGTCCCTGAAGAAGGACATCATGCTTAGTAAAGTAGAGGGTCAGTGAAAAAGAGGAAGACCCTCAAAAGGAGATGGATTGACACAGTGGCTCCAATAATGGGCTCAACAACAATTGTGAGGATGGCACAGGACTGGGCAGTGTTTTGTCCAGTTGTACATAGGGCCGCTATGAGTTGGAACCTACTTGACAGCACTTAACAAGCAACAACTGCTATTGGGTTGCATGTCATCTGTTATAGTTCTCTGCTGCAGAGTATGAAGATTTTGTTTTTTACTATGTACTGTTTACATTCTTCCTCTTAAAGTCATTAGGGACTCATAGGGTACTATGGGGAATTTGGGTCTGCATTGGATCTACAACACATTTCAAAATGCCTGAAATTATCAGCTTGGACCCAAGAATAACCATCACCCAATGAAAATCAGTAAATTAAGAGTAAAATAATCATTATTTTATGTTAAGTAATGATTTCATGGTATAGCATGAAACTTGGTGGTTCCCAAACCTGAGGAACCTGTTAAAAATTTTATTTCCCAGACTCCACAACTGACTACAGAATTATAATTTCTGGAGGTGGGGGCCTAGCATCTATATTATAATGAACTTCCTGTGACTTTTTGGCACTAGAGCTGTGTTTGGGAGCTCCGCAAAGAACACCAGAACAGGAGTGTGGAAACTGGAAAATAGATCTGGGTTCTAGTCCTAAGTTGTTCAATACGTAGATTGGGGATCCTGAGCAAATCATACCTATTAATTGTTTGTTTGTTTGATTGGTTCACAAAAAGAGGAGTGCCCCAAGTACTGCATCTAACAGGCACAGAGGATACCAACATAAATGAGATGGCTCTCAGCCTATTGGTGCAGACAAAATTGTAAAATAAAATAA